GACATTCACGGCGGCCTAAGGATTAATATAGGCCTCATTTCATAATAAGAAGTGTCGAAAACTTTTCCCTGGTGGAGAGTGGAGGGAACGTGATTTACGAGACCACGGTAACAGAGTGGTAAAAAGTGTGATAAGAGTAGGCCCGGGTGTCAGGTGCACGGCCAGGGTGTGTCAGGGGACTACCCGTGTGTTAATCCTCGCTCATCGGCCTCAGATCTTAATGGAGTGACCTCTAATTTGTGTAATAGTTATGAGACGTTAAATCGTCTTGTGAATGGTAATGTAATCAGTGATAATAACATTGAGTTAAGAGAATGCGGGATGTGAAATAGAGCGCCTTGCTCGAGTGAACGTGGTGACTCTCGTACCGGGGATAATGGAGATTTATAGAATCACGACTTCAAACCCGGGACAAACGACGGATACCTCGTCCTCCCGGAATGAGAACCGTGTCGGTGTAGCAGGACACGAAACTGAGATGGTAAAAGGAAGAAAAAAGGAGTATCAATCACCCACAGTTAAGTAACCCTTATAGTTATAGCAAACTTATGCTGGCAGTAGTGTTATGTTATAATTAGATAGGTTATGAGTGATCCAGCTAATCAAGTGACCACCAGAGAACATCTGGTAAGTGGTGGGATTATGTACAAATGTTTTCCTTGATGGATGTATCCAGGTGTATCTACCCCCCTCCCCTTCATCAGCAAAACTACTATAATCTATACAGTCCACATTAACTAGTAGCACCGTACTTGTGTGTGCTACCCAATCCATACTGGTCTCGGATAGATATGGATAAGATTGGGGAGGTCGAAGGGGCCACCTGCAGTGACCAGAGGTGGTTAAGTTTTCCGCATGTCTACACGGGGTGATACGGAAAAACAATATGGTTGTCTCCAATGAGATTACTTGTATGTATATAATGTTGAGGTACATACAGATAAACACCCTAAAAAAATTTTCCATATCTGCCCGCTGGTCCTTCGTGAACGGATGCAATCAGTGAAAAATTAATTGAATTAATTACTTAATAATTAAGTTGACTGATTGAAGGAAGTCGGTGTAGGGTGCACAATTTTTAATCGATCGTGTGATGGATGTTTAATTACCCCAATAAATTGCTGCACATGGGTGGCTAGGTTTATACAAGAGTAAAGTGCAAGAATTACTCTTAAAAGGCGTCTACTTAAGTAGTATAATGGGTGATTATTAATTCCCTAACCATGGCTGGGTCTGAGGAAGTTAGTGCGACTGGCAAGTCCATGGATGCCAAAGCAAAGAAAGCGTCACTACAAGCTCGGAAGGGTCATGTTACTAAATCATACAAGAAGTGTATGGAGTTAATGAAACAAGAACGGTAAACCCTGATAAATTAAAGCTACACCTAGATGCCTAGATCCCTTAGGAAATGAATGAGTCATATAGGTTGTGGTTTAAAGACTATAAAAAAAGAGCTGCTAGGAATTGTGCAGATGATGCTGAAAGGGAGCGGACTGCTGGATCAACATTATGAAGTGGAGGACAACATTGTGCCCTGCAAAACTAAGGCTTTGGAGAAGGTAAAGGGTTTGTAAACAATGTTGTTGGTCAAACCTAGTAAGGAAAGTCAGAGACATCTCCCCAAAAATCCAGAATTATGTATGCCTGTGTTTAATCCGGAGAACACTGGGAGGAGTTTTGGTCTATTTTTAAAAAGCAGTCGTACATGATAGGAGTGATCTTGCAAGTGTTACCAAATTATGCTTTTAAAAAGGGGGACAAGTAAGGGGAGATGCGCATGTTCTCATACAAGCATTCCCAAATGTAGATGACTCCTATAGTGAGGCAGTTGACTTGTTGGAGGTCACTTACGGTAACTTGGAGCAAAGTAGGCTGGAACCTAGTGGCTAATTTGGCTAATTTGAAGACTCCAGATCACAACCGCAACAGTTTACAGCAATTTAGGATCAAACTAGAAAAGCACTTAAGACCTTGAGTAATAAATATGATCTGGAGGGAGCAGAGGGTTGTTGAGGGGCCTTGATTCAGAATAAATTGAACCACAAGACCATAGAGTGGTTATCTAACAGATATCCAAGGGTTACTTCGGGTTTGGGAAAGAAATAAGAGTGGGACTGCAAGAGCTAATTTGTCCAACTGAAGATCAGCCAACCCATTACCTCTAGGAATACCACGTCTAGGGGACCCCAGTGCACCTGCCAAGTTCCAAAAGGGAAACCTTATCCTAATATCAATAATCCTAAGCCACCTACTACACGGGGTTACGTAGGCACGTATCAGTGACGGGTGCCAGTTTTAGTGGTTCTCCACCTCCAAGCAAGAGGAGGAAGTACCACAATAAGGGTAGCCCAGTTGATAAGAGGTAGGCAAAGAAAGGAGAGATTGTATCTTCTGCAAGGGTTTACTCATTTCTCTAAGAACTGTAAGGGCCTATAATTCAGGGATGTTAAAGGTGGAAAGTTTGGGAAGAGCTTGCTAGATGACAGGTGTTAGGAAATCATAATGAAAGGGATTGCCGTGCTAACTTGCACTTTGTTATCAGTTTTAACGGGGAAGACACCACATAGCTATGTGTAAGGGCAGATCTAATCGTAATGATGGTAACAATATACTGATAGTGTAAAAACCCCCAGCACAACAGTAGCCCACGTAAAGATTGCAGCTAACGTCGGTAATGATGGCCTAGCTGAGGTAGCTTTGCCTGTGTTGGATGTGGTGATTAATGTTTAAAACGGCGTAAATCCAAAACTGTAACAGCATTACGGGATCAGGGATCACAACGAAACCTTCTTTAAACGTAACTGCCTTATTGGGATGAAGGTACAAATGGGAGATCCTGCTATACTCAAGCTATCTGGCTTTCTCTCGAATAAAAAGGCCCAGTCATACGACAACTGTTTATGTAACTGTCCGGTTTGCATGGGGAGAAAACGTATTAATGCCGTAATTGTGGATAGGCTCCCAGAGAAAATATCTACCATAGGGCTTGGTAACGCTACTGAAAGGCTTTCGAGTAAGGAAAGATTTGGCACCTTTGGTATAAAAAATTTGATTCGGTGGGGCCAATAGATATTTTGATAGGTAGTGACCATTAGCCACCTTTGTAAAGGTATGACAAAGAAATGCGGAGTCACCTTCTAAGGACCGCCGGAGGTCCGTGATGTATGGCAGGCTTCCTCGTACGATAATGAATGACTGGAGGAATCATAATACAGTTACGGTGTTTTCTTACTCATGAAGTATCACCCCAGTGTAAATATACTTCAAAAAAGGATGAAGTTGAACTGTGTATAAATTATGGGAATTGGACAGCATAGGGATCAATGTAAATGAAGAAAGTCCAGATGATTCCTTTATCAAGAACAATACAGAAGGATGTTAAATTTGAATCTGGACAATACTGGGTGAGACTTCCGTGGAAGCTGAACCATCAGACCTCCCAACTAATTACCGGATGGCGTATGGAAATTAAAGGCTCAGCTCCACGAATTGAGCAAGACACCAGAACTGTTGACTGCTTACGATGTTTAAAATTTAAATTGAGCAGTTAAATAAAAAATTCATAGAGGAGGTACCTCCCGAGCAAACCCAGTTTTAAATGGTCAATATTTCCCCACCCCACGGAGTGAAGAAGGATTCTAAGACCACCCCTCTGAGGATTGTGTTTAATTGTAGTGCCAGGAGTAATAAAAGTGTACCTAGTTTGAATGACTGTTTGTGAAGGTCCGTCGTTGACGGAAAAACTGGGGGGAACATTACTATTAAACTTCAGGGTTAAGAATTATGCCTTTACGGCAGACATAAGTAAAGCTTTCCTGAGAGTGGGTTGCAGGAGGCTGACCGGGATTGCACTGGGTTTTCTTATGGCCCGAGAACCCTGGTGACCCACTTAGTCCCCTAAAGACTTTTCGCTTCAGGAGTGTATTTTTTTGGTGCTCCCTCCAGCCCGTTCCTACCCCAGGCAACGATAAAATGCACAACCTTAAGCGTACGGGTGTTTCCACTGAGTGGAGTAATGGGTAGACAATTTTATGTGGGACAAATTTCCCGGGGTGACGTCTAATGAAGAGGAATAATGAGCATATACGCAGGGGCTAATGAAAAAAATGCAAGGTGCAAATATGCCCTGAGGGAATGGAACAGTAATTCGTCCAGTTTAAGAGTTCAAATAAATAAAGACAAACCCCGGAGTTGAAGTGTCCAAATATAGTAATGTGTGGGACTGACTTGGACACAGGGGAGACTTGTTATCGTTAAAGCCTAATGACTACGCATGCCCAATAAATTAACCAAGAGAGTCTTGCTTGCAGAAGTTTCAAAATGCTTTCGATCCACTAGGCTTAGTGTCCCCACTTACCATAAAAGGAAAATTGTTGAACAAGAAGCATGGAAGCTTAAGTGTGTTGGATGAAACCCTACCTGAGGAATTTGTTGAAAGGTTGGGGAAAAACTAATAGGGGAATATGTAAAATTACCAATGTTGAAGTTTCCCCGTAATGTGGCCAGTCAAGAGGGGAAAATGTACTCCACATTTTTTGCGATGCTTCGAAATTGCATATGGAGCAGTCGCTTACCCTTTAATGTATTGTGCATTTCTCTTGTTAGTCTAAGGGTTAAGGTGGCTCCAATCAAATCACGCACCTTACCCAGTTGGAATTAACGGCCTTTATGTAGGTGTCAAATTAGCCAATTATATAAAAATAAAATTGCGAGAGATAAATATCAGCGACACGTAATTTGGTCTGATAACGAGGGATCCTTACAATGGATTCGTAATGGTAACAGTAAGATTTGGTGTATGTACAAAACAGAGTCGTGAAAAACAATAAATGCAGGAGAAACATCACAGTTTGGGTCAGCATATGTTAACCTTTAATCAATTCCTGGTGACGAGAAACCCCGCTGACTTCTTGTCTCGAGGCTTGACTTATGAAAAATTTGTGAGTGCTTTATGTGGTTTAAAGGGCAAGTTGGTGGTGGACAAAAATTAACTGGCCGGTGCAAAAAGCACATATTGCTCCTGTCGAAATTACGGTGAGCACCGCTCCGGTCAGTAGTCCCTCCTTAGCCATTGATATGAACAGGTATTCTTCCTTACCTAAGCTGATTAGTGTGACCAGGTTAGTGTTTAAATTTATAAGTAAGATGAATATCTCACATAATTTTCCCCATCCCCTGAAATACTGGCTACAGAGGGTACAAGAAGAAACCTACAGGGATGAGATTAAATTCATGATGGACGGAAAAATTGTGAAAGGCTCAATAATAGAAAAGCTGGGGCTGTATTTAGAGGATGATGTAATTAGGTGCAGAGGCAGGTTACAAAATGAACATCAAAATGGTATACAATACCGACAGGTTGTCTAACTGTTGCATATGTGTCTTACCAGGTTACAAAATGCTGAATTGGGGGAATATGCTAAGCACCCTATCTTGCTGCCCAAAACTCATCACCTGACAACCTTGATTGTCTTTAATGCCCATAATAACGTGATGCACGGTGGGGTACAGGATACCTTAAACTGTATTCGGGAAACCTTCTGGATTCCACAAGGACGGCAAAGTGTAAAGGGGGTTATCAAGTCGTGTGTAATATGTCGCCGGGTGGATGCCAGAACCTACATGTACCCAGGTCCTCCACCATTGCCCAAGGAACGCGTGCAGTTGGTAAAACCATTTGATGTGACCGGAGTGGACTATATGGCAATAAATTTTAGGACTTCAGTGGTGTCCCCTTGAAGGTGTATGTATGTCTATTACTTGTACAGCTACTAGGGTGTTCATCTAGAAATTGGCTCAGGGAACTTGTCTGCAGAACAGTTCATACAGTGTTCCGGAAATTTGCACTAGACGATCCTGTCCAAGATTGATGATCTCAGATAATGCACCAATTTTGTAGCGGGTGCTCAACACTTGATGAAATTAAATAAGAGTGATGATGTACAGTCTTTGTTGACCCAGCGAGGGTGTGTCTGGAAATTTATTACTCCCCGAGCCCCTGGGAGGGGGGACTGTACGAAAGAATGATAGGTACAGTGAAAAGATGTTTGTTTAAAGGGGCTACACAGGAAGAGAATTGATTTGGAGGAGTTCCCGGGGAGTGTTGGTGGAGGCAGAGAATCGAGTGAACAATCGCCCTCTGTCATACATGAGCGACATCCTGACGCGGAGGTACTGACTCCCTCTCACCTAATATGTGGACAAAGGTTAGAAGCTGCGCCTATCTATAGAGATAATCCCGGGGAAGTGATGGGATTATAATAACGTGACTGTGTTGAGTGACAAGTTCAAAATGTTAAATAAGGTAATTATTCATTGGTTGATTGTGGCGTAAAGAATATCTTCTTACACTACGTGAACACTTTTATGGGGCGCCAGAGGCAGTAAACGAACAGAACATTCAACCAGGTGACATTGTGTTAATTGATACTGAACAACATTGAACACTGTGGCCTCTGGGAAGGTAGTTACATTATACCCAGACGCACAAGGTGTTGTCAGAAACGTCAAAGTTTTTTGGGGTCGTGGTCAGGAAAGTTTGCGTACCATTAATAATTAATTCCTTTTAATTAAATGGTGTTCAATCCAGTGCGATGGAAACCTAAGGGAAAGTGAAACGAGTGATATTGAAGCACTGACCGGGTAATGCAAGAAGAAACTGTAGTAAGACCCACTAGGAAAACAGCAGCGCAATCTAGAGAGGGCTGGAACCGTCTCCTGGAGGAAGACGCAATTTAAGTCGTCTAACAACGACTTCCGCCCCGGCGAGTGTGAAAAAATTTTTAATTTTCCGAAACTATAGCGCCAAATAGGTGTTTTATGTTTCCGATATGAGTCAAAATGTATTTGAAAATGGAGTAGAACCAAGAGTTCCCTTGGCGCATGCGCGGATGTGCGGGGGAGGAAGGCGGATTGTTTTGAATGTGGTGAAAAAGCTGAGAAAGTGGAAAACCCGAAATTTACATTCACGGCGGCCTAAGGATTAAAATAGGCCCCATTTCATAATAAGAAGTGTCGTAAAACTGTTCCTGGTGGAGAGTGAGGGAACGTGATTTACGGGACCACGGTAACAGAGTGGTAAAAAGTGTGATAAGAGTAGGACGGGGGTGTCAGGTGCACGGCCCGGGTGTGTCCAGGGGACATACCCGTGTGTTAATCCTCGCTCATCGGCCTCAGTCTTAATGGGGGTGACCTCAATTTGTGTAATAGTTATGAGACGTTAAATCGTCTTGTAATGGTAATGTAATCAGTGATAATAACATTGAGTTAAGAGGAATGCGGGGATGTGAAATAGAGCGCCTTGCTCCGAGTGAAGTGTGACTCTCGTACCGGGGATAATGGAGATTTATAGAATCACGACTTCTAAACCCGGGAAAACCGACGGATACCTCGTCCCGCCCAATGAGAACCGTGTCGGGTGTAGCAGGACATCGAAAAATGAGATGGTGAATGGGAAAAAATAAGGAGTATCAATCACCCCCAGTTAAGTAACCCCTTTTAGTTATAGCAAACTTATGTGGCCCGTAGTGTTATGTTATAATTAGATAGGTTATGAGTGATCCAGCTACATCAAGTGACCCCCGAGAACATCTGGTAAGTGGTGGGATTATGTACAAATGTTTTCCTTGATGGATGTATCCAGGTGTATCCTACCCCCCTCCCCTTCATTCAGCGAAACTAATATAATCTATACAGTCCACAATTAACTAGTAGCACCGTACTTGTGTGTGCTACCCAATCCATACTGGTCTCGGATAGATATGGATAAGATTGTGAGGTCGAAGGGGCCACCTGCAGTGACCAGAGGTGGTTAAGTTTTCTCACATGTCTACACGGGGTGACTACGGTAAACAATATGGTTGTCTCCCAATGAGATTACTTGTATGTATATAATGTTGAGGTACATACAGATAAACACCCTAGAAAATTTTCCATAAAAATAGTACAATTAATACTATTAATGACTTTGGATGGCCCTGGCAGCAAAATTATTTGTTCCATTTTTCTGTTTAACTTAATAAAATTTGAACCAGATGTATGACAGTAGTTTTATTTCTTTAAGTACAGTGTGTCATCGACACCATGCCTAACCCTTCTAGGGTAGGGTAGGTGCCTGAGCCCGAGCCTTTAGCTCATAAGACTGTCATTCCCATTTGCCCCCTTGGGGCGGGGATGGCAGACCAGAGAGGCCTAGCTTGTGGCTAGGCCTGGGGACAGTTGGTCCCAAAGATGAGGAGGTACTTGTGCTTCCTCCCATGGGAGACTTAGGTCTCAGACACTCCCTAAAGAGGGAGCCAAGGCCGGGCCACCACTTGGACAAGGCCCGGGCCGGGAGAATACAGGCTAATCTTTAACTAACTAACCAAGTACAGTGTGATGATAAAAAATTAGTAGAGTGAAGGATCCTCACGAATCTTTAGAAAAGGATTGTAAGTGTTTATTGGTCAGCAAACAGAACAAGTGCATCATTACATGGTTCTTTGTCAGACAATGACCCATATCTGGAGATAGGTTTTATTCCCCATATAAACAATAGAGATTCTCAAAGGATTAGATTCTTGTTGTTGGGGGTTTATAGAGTCACTGACACCATATGCTGTATCGAGTAGTGTTCGATTCTCTCCTGCTGTTTACAAACTAAAATTTATGATTTTAATTCCAAGTAATTATGATTAATTCTAATATGATTATTTACATCATCACACTACTCAGAACTATGAAGAACATTTCCTTGAAGGTAACACTGAAGAGGAATGTTGTACCATAGATAATTTTAGTAGATGTTAGGCAAACGAAGTCTTTTCTTGATTATTAACTGCTGAGTGATAATAGGGACAACCTAGGAAGCCCATAGGTCTGGCCTATTTCCTCGGGGGCCCTTATATCCTCTTCTCAATGATGCAACCCACAACAGTCAACTAGGTACCTATTTACTGTTAAGAGAATATGGGCAGCAGGTGTAAGAAGACTTGCTCTATACGTCTTTTTCACCCATGATTAAAACCCAGGACTTTATTGTTGTGTACTGAACACTCTGCCACTGTGTTTAAAGATACCGGAGGGTTTTTAATACCCCGTGATAACCCAAGAAAACCAAGCCAGAAATATCAGTGTTCAGGCTGTGCTGTGTTAGAATTAAGATGCAGGGTTGAAGAAGAACTTCTTGCTGAAGCCAATATTTTTCAGTAGTGGCGACCCAGTGTAAGAGTTGTTGGCACACTCCTTGAGTAACTGTCTGTACAAGTCAGCAAGTTCCTTATCATGGGAGTGTTGTGCCAGGGTGCGACACAGAGCAGTGTTGAAGGGAGTTCCTTCCTTAGTAAAGGAGTACGAGGTAAAACCTCCACTGCTTGAGTACAAACACATTATGTCCTGTAGAGGTTCTTCCATTCTTGTATATTTGACTGTGTTGTCTCTTCTAGCATTCTCTTTGTAGTAACCACAACAAAAGTCAAAGATGAATAATTTGGGCTTATTTTTTAACTGTGGGCATTCTGAGTCCTTAAAAATTTCACATACCCACTGAGTAGTCAAAAGATTCATGTCACTTGTTAAAAACTTTTCATTTTCGACACCGTGACTTGAGATAATAAAAACAGCACATCCAACACGGTCCAGGAGCTCCATGTTCCTGACACTGGTCAACACTTGTTTGGTCTCTTGTGCTGTCAAGGAACAATGTGAGTGTCCAGTGTAACCCATTTTCTCCCAGATGTTTGACAGGTTCTTGACATTTAAGTGTGACCCCTCAAGGGCCAGGTCAGGTCGCTCCTTGAAGGAACTGTAGCTCAGGATACACACGTATCCTCTGGGATCTGTGTCCATCCTGTAGATGTCTGGTCCTAATGTCTTGACTCTGGATCCTCCAGATCTCTGTGAACAGGCAAACGTAGATGGAATATCTCAAAGTTTATCGTATCAGATTAATATTTTGAATTCATTAAACTCTAAACACTCGGAGGTACAAACCATAATGCACATGAACCAGAAACAATATTTTGTTATATTTAGAAATATTATGGTGAAATGATCTAATTAATAAATCGGTTTCTAAAAATGATGAAAAATTTACCTGATTCTTGCAAGCATCTTTGGAAAGGTCACCGAAGCTCAAAGCTAAACTATCCACATTGCTGAAGCTGAAACTGGTGACCTGAAGCCTATCATTCTATAAGAGAATAACATGAAAGCAATATTAAAACAGGAGTAATCAATTATATTTAAGTATTTGTAATTATGTGACATCATGTAGAACTATGAATATAAAAATCAGAAGTTTAAAATCTATCAGAGAACAAGTCTATTAGGAAATATCTGTGATTGTCAGATGTTAGTTATCCGATAAGTTATATTAAGAAAGTTTTGAGTGATAGAATATGACAATAAGATAAGAGATAAGATAAGATTTCGTTCGGATTTTTAACCCCGGAGGGTTAGCCACCCAGGATAACCCAAGAAAGTCAGTGCGTCATCAAGGACTGTCTAACTTATTTCCATTGGGGTCCTTAATCTTGTCCCTCAGGATGCGACCCACACCAGTCGACTAACACCCAGGTACCTACTTGCTGCTAGGTGAACAGGACAACAGGTGTAAGGAAACGTGTCGAAATGTTTCCACCCGCCGGGAATCGAACCCGGGCCCTCCGTGTGTGAAGCGGGAGCTTTAGCCACCAGGCCACCGGGCCACCAATCAAACAGTCATGTGTGATGGAATATAACAGGAAAATCCTGTGTGATGGATTATGATAGGGAAACTATCCTGGCTGATAGAATATGATAGGGAAACTATCCTGGCTGATAGAATATGAGAGGGAAACTATCCAGGCTGATAGAATATGAGAGGAAACTATCCTGGCTGATAGAATATGAGAGGGAAACTATCCTGGCTGATAGAATATGAGAGGGAAACTATCCTGGCTGATAGAATATGAGAGGGAAACTATCCTGGCTGATAGAATATGAGAGGGAAACTATCTGGCTGATAGAATATGAGAGGGAAACTATCCTGGCTGGTAGAATATGAGAGGGAAACTATCCTGGCTGATAGAATATGAGAGGGAAACTATCCTGGCTGATAGAATATGAGAGGGAGGAAACTATCCTGGCTGATAGAATATGAGAGGGAAACTATCCTGGCTGATAGAATATGAGAGGGAAACTATCCTGGCTGATAGAATATGAGAGGGAAACTATCCTGGCTGATAGAATATGAGAGGGAAACTATCCTGGCTGATAGAATATGAGAGGGAAACTATCCTGGCTGATAGAATATGAGAGGGAAAAAATCCTGGCTGATAGAATATGAGAGGGAAACTATCCTGGCTGAATAGAATATGAGAGGGAAACTATCTGGCTGATAGAATATGAGAGGGAAACTATCCTGGCTGATAGAATATGAGAGGGAAACTATCCTGGCTGATAGAATATGAGAGGGAAACTATCCTGGCTGATAGAATATGAGAGGGAAACTATCCTGGCTGATAGAATATGAGAGGGAAACTATCCTGGCTGATAGAATATGAGAGGGAAACTATCCTGGCTGATAGAATATGAGAGGGAAACTATCCTGGCTGATAGAATATGAGAGGGAAACTATCCTGGCTGATAGAATATGAGAGGGAAACTATCCTGGCTGATAGAATATGAGAGGAAACTATCCAGGCTGATAGAATATGAGGGAAACTATCCTGGCTGATAGAATATGAGAGGGAAACTATCCTGGCTGATAGAATATGAGAGGGAAACCATTGTGTGTGATATAGAATGACAAAGAAACCATTCCTCATGATGGGTGTGTTGGATATATACAATTTTTGTTTACAATTCTTATAATGTGTTAGCTAGATTAAGGAAGCTACACAGTGTGGTGTATCAAAGAAGTACACAGTGTAGTGTATCAAAGAAGCACACAGTGTGGTGTATCAAAGAAGCTACAGAGTGTGGTGTATCAAAGAAGCTACACAGTGTGGTGTATCAAAGAAGCTACACAGTGGTGTATCAAATAAGCTACACAGTGTGGTGTATCAAAGAAGCTACAGAGTGTGGTGTATCAAAGAAGCTACACAGTGTGGTGTATCAAAGAAGCTACACAGTGTGGTGTGTCAAAGAAGCTACACGGTGTGGTGTATCAAAGAAGCTACAGAGTGTGGTGTATCAAAGAAGCTACAGAGTGTGGTGTATCAAAGAAGCTACAGAGTGTGGTGTATCAAAGAAGCTACAGAGTGTGGTGTGTCAAAGAAGCTACACGGTGTGGTGTGTCAAAGAAGCTACATGGTGTGGTGTGTCAAAGAAGCTACAGAGTGTGGTGTGTCAAAGAAGCTACACAGTGTGGTGTATCAAAGAAGCTACACAGTGTGGTGTGTCAAAGAAGCTACACGGTGTGGTGTGTCAAAGAAGCTACACGGTGTGGTGTGTCAAAGAAGCTACAGAGTGTGGTGTATCAAAGAAGCTACACAGTGTGGTGTATCAAAGAAGCTACACAGTGTGGTGTGTCAAAGAAGCTACAGAGTGTGGTGTATCAAAGAAGCTACACAGTGTGGTGTATCAAAGAAGCTACACAGTGTGGTGTGTCAAGAAGCTACACAGTGTGGTGTATCAAAGAAGCTACACAGTGTGGTGTATCAAAGAAGCTACACAGTGTGGTGTGTCAAAGAAGCTACAGAGTGTGGTGTATCAAAGAAGCTACACAGTGTGGTGTATCAAAGAAGCTACACAGTGTGGTGTGTCAAAGAAGCTACACAGTGTGGTGTATCAAAGAAGCTACACAGTGTGGTGTGTCAAAGAAGCTACACAGTGTGGTGTGTCAAAGAAGCTACAGAGTGTGGTGTATCAAATAAGCTACACAGTGTGGTGTATCATGGAAGCTACACAGTGGTGTATCAAATAAGCTACACAGTGTGGTGTATCAAGGAAGCTACACAGTGGTGTATCAAATAAGCTACACAGTGTGGTGTATCAAATAAGCTACACAGTGTGGTGTATCAAGGAGGCTACACAGTGGTGTATCAAATAAGCTACACAGTGTGGTGTATCAAATAAGCTACACAGTGTGGTGTATCAAATAAGCTACACAGTGTGGTGTATCAAATAAGCTACACAGTGTGGTGTATCAAATAAGCTACACAGTGTGGTGTATCAAATAAGTTACACAGTGTGGTGTATCAAATAAGCTACACAGTGTGGTGTATCAAGGAAGCTACACAGTGTGTGGAGCATCTAACTTAAACAACACCTCACCTGAGGAACCATGGGGAAAATATGCTCTCGGTGTAAGGAGAGTGCCAGTTGACGAGGTGTGGTCACCTGCAGTTCCCTGGTCAAGGTTCCTTGTACCAGGTGACCAGCGTGGTAGTCAGGATCAGCACCAAGCTGTAGCAACTGCTGTACCTTCCTTGTATCCCACCACAGAACAGCCTCGAACAGCGGTGCAGCTAGCTGTAATTAATACCACATTATAGCTATAACATTACTTTTTATCAACATATTTATAATACATCATGATAGTAAAGCTTATATCTAAGAGAGTCTAACAGATACATCAAGTGAAGACATTGTTTCTAGATTAAGAGAAGAACTAACCAGGTCCTTGAAGGTTCTGTTGTGGTTGTCACGTTTGTCAAGGTTCAAGTCCTCTTCATGGAGCAATATATCTAACACCTGTGTGTGACCTTTGAGGGCAGCCAAGTGAGCTGGAGTCTGACCTTCCTTGTTGACAATATTGGGACTGATAAGCTTGAGCAGGAAGCTCAGCACCTCTGGCTGGTTGCTGTCTGCTGCTGTATGCAGCAGAGACCAGCCTGTCTGCTGTCTCCTCACTGCTGGTCCTGTTTCACGTACAAGTTCCTCTACTCTCTCCAGCTCTCCCATCTCCACTGCTCTGAATATTTCTGTCTGAGGAATTACAAAAATAATATATCACCCTCTTACTTCTTTAGCCAAATAATATATAAAATGAGAACATTTTTGGTTGTTAGTTAAATAGAGACATAAATCCCAAAACAAGCTTGTACTAGAAATAAGCTTAGCTCTGTGTAGAGCTTAATCTAACCATGACTTAATAAAATTCTACACAGAGTGTAAGATGAATTGATAAAGCTCTAAACAGATAAGTTGAATTGAAAAAGCTCCACACATTGTGTAACATGAATTGCTAAAGCTCTACCTATGTGTTTAATTCACTACAGTGGATCCTCAGTTAACGACATTAATCTGTTCCAGAGAGCTTGTCTTTAACTGATTCTCTCGTTATCCGAATTAATTTTCCCCATAAGAAATAATAGAAATCCAATTAATCCGTTCCAGACACCCAAAAATATTAAACAAAATAATTTTTTCCATGAAATATACATTTCCCTACACAGAAAACAATGAGACATGCAGAATAAATACATAAATAATAAAATGATGCCTTTATTGAAGAGTATTGATAAGTGATGGGACACTATTTTTCTTGAACACCCTGGGATTTTCAGAGCAATACATGAGTAAAGGCTTCACTTTGCAATCCCAACTAACATTACAACAAAACATGAGAGTTAGCCTGTCTTTCATATGCTTGTATCCTGGAAGTGCCTTTTCCTCTTGAGTAATGTAGGTCTTGTTTGACATTTTCTCCGGAACAGGCCTGTTTTGTCACAATTGAACACTTGATGGGGCTGGAATTTTTCAGCTTCTCCATGCCTTATCACACTGTGTATGCCACTATTTATTTATTTATTTATTTATTTGAACATGATATAGGTAAGTACAAGGAATACAATTTTTAAAGTGCAGCATGCCAAAGCCGGCAGGTGGAAACATTTCGACACGTTTCCTTACACCTGTTGTCCTGTTCACCTAGCAGCAAATAGGTACCTGGGTGTTAGTCGACTGGTGTGGGTCGCATCCTGGGGGACAAGATTAAGGACCCCAATGGAAATAAGTTAGACAGTCCTCGATGACGCACTGACTTTCTTGGGTTATCCTGGGTGGCTAACCCTCCGGGGTTAAAAATTCGAACGAAATCTTATCTTAGCCCCATGTATGCAGAGCATTATGGGCAGCTTAAAATTAACTTAAGATTAACTAAGCAATGATATATTCAGTGGTACAAAAATTATTGTAAACAGATAACAATTTAGTACAAATGAGTATTACAAAGACAGGTCATATGGTCATTTACTGTGATGCTGTGTAATCAGTAGAATGGAGCATTATGTTGGGTAGTGAAGTTAAATAGTAACAGTTTGATTGAGTCACAGTATGACATTTATGAGATACAATAATGAGAAACATTTATGAGATACAATTTATGAGATACTTATTCAGTATTTATTTAGTTGTGGGTGAGTAAGTGATTTTTGAGAAGTGACTTGAATTTATAAACATGTTGATCCCCATGCACAAATTCCATAGGTGAGATAGGGGTAAATAAGTGAGTGATATAGGGCCAGGAGGGTTGACTGTGCAACATAGTACCGTATCTTCGATAATATGCCTACGGTCTTGGAAATTTTTTTGGAAATTTGTTGTATATGTGTTTGAAATTTGAGTCTATTATCAAGGTGGATTCCTAAGAATTTTCCCTCTGTGAGTTTTGTGATAGGTGATCCATTTATCATTATGTTAAGAGACACATCTGTAGCTCTGTTACCAAACTGAATGAAGTAGGTTTTGTCAATGTTTAGAGTAAGTTTGTTGGTCTTCATCCAGGTTGATATTTTCTGTAATTCCATATTTACAATATTGGCTAGCATGACTGGGCTCGGGTGAGAGAAAACGTATGTAGTGTCATCTGCAAATAGTGTTGATTTGAGTAGTTGCGATGCATTTGGTAGGTCACTTATGTATATGAGAAAGAGAAGAGGGCCTAGGACACTTCCCTGTGGGACACCAACTGTAATTTGCTGTGCGGAAGAGTGCCCCATTTGTGTACACATATTGGGTTCTGTTGCTGAGGTATGACTTTAGGTAGTTGAGGGAGTGCCCTCTTATACCATAGTGTGACAATTTTATGTGGAGCAAGTCATGGTCAACTGTATCAAAAGCTTTACGTAAATCAATGAAGATCCCCAGTGGGACTTCTTTTTTCTCTATTGCAGTGTAAATATGTTCTAGCATGTGTATAATAGCATCATTCATATTTTCATTAGGCATGAACCCAAACTGACAGGGGTTGAGTATGTTGTAGGAGATGAGGTAAGAATAGATACACTTATGAATTAATTTTTCAAAGATTTTAGAGATTCTTAAATCTCTCAAACTAACCGTTGCTGGCCTTAAATTTACCAATATGAGCACTAGTTCCATGCATTTTTTCCTGTTTACCTGGGTGTTAGTCAACTGGTGTGGGTTGCATCCTGGGGGACAAGATAAAGGACCCCAATGGAAATAAGTTACAGTCCTCGATGATGCACTGACTGACTTGGGTTATCCTGGGTGGCAAACCCTATGAGGTTAATTGTTTCTCGGATAATTGTTTCTCGTTGATCTACACCAACAGTCTCTCCACATCTTTTAGTAGTATATACGTTCTCTGTTTTGTAAGCATATTTGCACCATTCAAAACAACAGCTTCCTTGATTACCGTTTTGTTGGCCAAGATAGTAGCGATGGTTGTATGGGGTTTGTTATACAACCTGGCCAGCTCAGAGACACACACTCCACTTGTATTTTGTGATGATCTCTTTCATGAATCCAATAGTATTTCTCACCCTCTTTACCACAGGGCTGGCACTAGAAGCTTTCTTTTGGCCCATGGTGCCTTATTTAGCAGTTACAAGCACTAAAAACAATGGAATAATACAAAATGCAGAGATTGGTGGATGAATTTGGTAGGGTGTGCAAAAGAAGAAAATTAAAGGTGAATACAGGAAAGAGTAAGGTTATGAGGATAACAAAAAGATTAGGTGATGAAAGATTGAATATCAAATTGGAGGGAGAGAGTATGGAGGAGGTGAACGTATTCAGATATTTGGGAGTGGACGTGTCAGCGGATGGGTCTATGAAAGATGAGGTGAATCATAGAATTGATGAGGGAAAAAGAGTGAGTGGTGCACTTAGGAGTCTGTGGAGACAAAGAACTTTGTCCTTGGAGGCAAAGAGGGGAATGTATGAGAGTATAGTTTTACCAACGTGTGAATGCACACGAAAATCACTCACTACGAAAGCAAAAGACTTGGCAGACGATGCACCATCCCCCCAATGAAAAGCAGGGGTGTCACTAGCACGTTAAGAGACCATACAATAAGTGTCAGGGGCCCAAGACTGTTCAACTGCCTCCCAGCACACATAAGGGGGATTACCAACAGACCCCTGGCAGTCTTCAAGCTGGCACTGGACAAGCACCTAAAGTCAGTTCCTGATCAGCCGGGCTGTGGCTCGTACGTTGGTTTGCGTGCAGCCAGCAGCAACAGCCTGGTTGATCAGGCGCTGATCCACCAGGAGGCCTGGTCACGGACCGGGCCGCGGGGGCGTTGACCCCCGAAACTCTCTCCAAGTAATATGGGTGTGAAGCATGGGTGATGAATGTTGCAGCGAGGAGAAGGCTGGAGGCAGTGGAGATGTCATGTCTGAGGGCAATGTGTGGTGTGAATATAATGCAGAGAATTCGTATTTTGGAAGTTAGGAGGAGGTGCGGGATTACCAAAACTGTTGTCCAGAGGGCTGAGGAAGGGTTGTTGAGGTGGTTCGGACATGTAGAGAGAATGGAGCGAAACAGAATGACTTCAAGAGTGTATCAGTCTGTAGTGGAAGGAAGGCGGGGTAGGGGTCAGCCTAGGAAAGGTTGGAGAGAGGGGGTAAAGGAGGTTTTGTGTGCGAGGGGCTTGGACTTCCAGCAGGTATGCATGAGCGTGTTTGATAGGAGTGAATGGAGACAAATGGTTTTTAATACTTGACGTGCTGTTGGAGTGTGAGCAAAGTAACATTTATGAAGGGGTTCAGGGAAACCGGCAGGCCGGACTTGAGTCCTGGAGATGGGAAGTACAGTGCCTGCACTCTGAAGGAGGGGTGTTAATGTTGCAGTTTAAAAACTGTAGTGTAAAGCACCCTTCTGGCAAGACAGTGATGGAGTGAATGATGGTGAAAGTTTTTCTTTTTCGGGCCACCCTGCCTTGGTGGGAATCGGCCAGTGTGATAATAATAATAAAATAATACAAAATGTATCGCATGTATGCTTGGAATCGTCCTCACTGGCTTGTAAACAATGGCACACTGGCTGTACATGGAGTGGCTGGGCCACTCAGGCCCCGCAGACACGTTCGGGTGAATGACTTTAACCGAATTCTTTGTCGTTAACTGAGCCAATATTTGATGCAAAAACATGTCGTTATCCGATTTTTACGTTATCAGATGACATTGTTAACTGAGGGTCCACTGCATTATCTTCAATGAAGACATTAAAATTACCAAGCAATCATACCTTCTTAACACTGCTTGAGGTTGACTGACCAGGAGTCCTGAACATCAAAAGCCTTGCTGAAGCTCGTGTTCTGATGACCCTCTTGAGTGGGGCATCATTTCGAACATCCCGTGAAGCATCCCTACACCTCTTCGGTGTACTTCTGGTAGCAACATCCCAGGAGGAAGGGCTGATGCACCGTTTCATGTTGGATCTTTTGATGGTTTTTGCAAGTGGAGTCTTCCTTGGTGTTGACAGTGTTGATGTTCCCCTCTCAGGAGAAACACTAACTGCTCCAATTACCTTTTAAAAGAAAATGTAATCTGTATAACTGCTTGACAGCTGTTATATTTGGTAATTAGTAATGGAAAATATCATTCTATAGACAATCGTATGTTGATAAATTAGACATGTGTAACACTTGTGGAAACGCATCACCACTCAGTGCCCTCCTCAGTCTAATACAGAGAAGAAGGGTTTAAGATCGGAAGGAGTTTGAGGTAATCAGTCCCTCAACCTGGAGTCGATGTGTTCAGTCCATCATTCTTGATAAGACTCTTTCCACAATAAAGATACATAAGTTTTGCACGTGTGTCTAATTTATCAACTTATTGGTTCTCTGAACCATTTATCAGCAATCGTACCTGATTATTGATGTCAGTTGCTGGTTGCAGTTCCTGCAACACGTTGACAAGTTTGTTTACTTTGCTCTTCCCAGGGTTCAGTCTGTGTGGACCAAGAATATTTCACGACATTTAAAGGAACCACATATAAAAATGATTTACATGTACACTGACCAAAGGAAAAGAGACAGGCGTTTATTTGCACGTTTCTCTCAATGTATAGGGAAATATAATGGTAGCTAGTACCGTGGTAGGACATATGAGTACATGAGAGTACATGGTAAAGACAGATATAAGAAGACTTGGAAGTCCACACTGAAGCTATCTGATGAAATGAACTATCTAGCTCTGTCTAGGTCAAAAACTATCGTGCATTATTTATGTATGTGAGTCAAGGTTAGTAAAGCAGAAGGCTCTCTGCAGTACTCACTTATGAAACTGAACAAGTTTAGAGTAGAATTCAGGGCAGAGGACAGCCTGAAGTTGGTGTTTGTATGTTGTGGCCAGGTTAGTGAGTGCCATGCAAGCATCCTCTTCCACCTGGGCATCCTTGTGGAAGATGAGGTCACAGATGGTTGGTAGACACCTCACCATCTGGCCCAGGTTAACTGGCAGGTGTTGTGGCAGACAAAGATTAAGTAGGAACCAAGTGGCTGTTGTTAGAACTTGATTCTCACTCTCATTCACCATTCTGAAGAGGTAATAAAAGATTCTCTGAAACGTAAAACTTAGGATTTTGGTTTAAATAGTAATGCTCTTCTTGCTGAATAAGACAAGCGAAAATTTGTGCATGAAATAATTTTGCAAAAGTCGTTCTGAACCTAACGAAAAAAATATATTTTATTGTGTTTGTTATTATTAAATTATTGTAAACTTATCTAAAATATACTTACGTATTTGTATTAGGCTAAATTAAATTACACTTATTATAATGTCAGGTAAGTTTTCTAAGGTTCTTTTGGTACAAAATTATTAATTTTTACATTAACATGAATGAAAAAAAAATGTATCTTTAAATGTATAAGAGAAAATTTTAGAAAGGACCTAATGTTAAATGAGTTCTTGCTAATTGACCAATTTTACCCATTTGGCTTCATATGCCTTGTCAAAATATTAACTCCTTTGCTTGGCAACATTTCTGAAGCCCACTTAAAAAACAATGTTGATCTCATCGGCAAATTGCAAAATATCATGTCTAACGATTTTGTACTTGTTAGTTTTGATGTCACTGCGCTGTTCACGAGTCTCTCTGTTCCCGACTTGCTATCTTATTTGGAAGAAGAATTAGATGAGTTCTCTTTGCCTTTTAATAAAAATGCCATTGTTAAATTGACTAAGCTGTGTGTAGTTGATTGCAAGTTTGAGTTTGAGGGGAAATACTATGCTCAAAACCAGGGAATGGCGATGGGTAATCCGTTGTCCCCTTATTGACCAATCTGCATATGAAATTTTTCGAGGCTAGACTGTTGAAAGGTATCCTGCCATGTAGAGCTAAATAGTTCAGATATGTGGATAACGTCTTGTGTCTTTGGCCAAATGATATGGCCGTTGATACATTTTTATCAAGACTTAACACTTTAGTCCCATCTATTAAATTCACTGTGGAGAAAGAGGTGGACTGTAAACTTCCATTCTTAGATGTGTTGATACACCGGGTTGATAGAAAGTTAAAGTTCACAGTATATAGGAAGGCCACCAATGTGTGCTCACACATTCACTACTACTGAGACTAAAGTCAAAAGGAGTGTGATTCTTACTATGTTTTTGAGAGCCTATAGAGTGTGCAGGCTGGAGTTCCTAGATGAAGAAATTAAGAAAATATTTGACATTGGCATTTAATTGCAGTATCCGAAGATGTTTGTGGAATCTGCCTTGCTGGCAGCTAAGAAAACTTATTATAGAACAGAACCTAGGATAACACCTCAGACCAAGAATGTGCTAGTCCTCCCATATAACCAGAATTTATCTAACCTGCCAAATGCTCTTAGAAGATTTAATATACAAGTAGTTTTTAAAAATTCATGGACTATTAGAAGCATCCTGATAAAGAATGCAATCCAACAACATGTTGGTGGTGCTTACAGAGTTGGTTGCAGCGGTTGCAGTCTCTCCTATCTGGGACAGGAGTTGAACGCAATTTTCAACCATATTAGAGCTTGTAATAACCCAGAAAATTGGCAGGAAGCAAGTCATCCTCCCTGTTCCTCCTGGCTTGAAAGGAATATTGTAGAATCGGCAATTATTAAGCATGATAGGCAATCATTATACAATATCAGTGATGGGCTGTTCAAATTAGATGCATTTTTAGTTAAGGCAATAGTACACAGTCTAAAATTGGGCTCTTATACAAATGCATTAGACTGTCTTAAATGTAGTGCCACACCAAGGAATTAGGGCCTATTTTTTCCTGCAGTTTCTGAAGGTTGAACTAGAGTTTGATTAACCTTGGCCATCTTCCTTGTTGTTACAGATGCCTCTCTCTTTAAACGAATTTATTTTAACGAGCCCTGTTTACTTTGAGAAGTCTCCCCTTTAAATGTTTATGTTTTTTCGCCTCCCCCTCAGGGTCCCATGGGTGGCTGTCATATAATTGACAGTGACTTCTATATCACTGACAATATATTTATGTTTGTAAAGGTACTGATATCATGCTGGTGTTCCCATGGATCCATGGATGCTGGTGTGCCTGGGGGCACTTCTGGTATCCTCTCTCTCCCTCTCTTCCTCCCTCATTTCACTCACTGCATGTGAAGACATCCTATGAGAATGCACTTATTGGACATCCTCCTCCTTTCTGGAGTTTTGCAAGCTCCTGATGATGCATTTATTGCAATGCAAAAGGCCTAGAGCTATCATTCTACTCTCCCATGGTTGTTTTGCATATATATATATATATATATATATATATATATATATATATATATATATATATATATATATATATATATATATATATATATATATATATATATATATATATATAAATACATACGTATATATATATATATACAGTGGACCCTCGAGTTTCAGCAGCCTTGACTTTCGTGAAATTCGACCTTCGGCGAGTTTTTTTTTTTAAATTTGGCCTCGAGTTTCGTGAAAAACTCGTGTTTTGGCGACCATCCGGTACCCATCCGCCCGTCACAGCGCACACAAAGCGAGTCTCCCATGCCATTCACGCTCAGTGTGCCATTGTTTACCAACACGTGACCATCACCCCACGGGTTCATACAATGTATTTGATAATCCATTGTTTTTTGTGCTTGCAACTGCTAAATAAGTCATCATGGACCCAAGGAAAGCTAGTGCAAGCCCTTTGGTAAATAAAGTGAGTGACGGGGATGTGGAAGAGTTGGTGGAGGACCACAGGGAAGAGCTAGTGGAGGATCACAGGGAAGAGCTAGTGGAGGATCACAGGGAAGAGCTAACCACTGACGAACTGCAAGAGCTTCAACTGGAACAGCATCAGACCACAGCCGAGGAACTTGCTTCAGAGGAGGAGGAAGAGGGAGTGGATGAGGTGCCTTCTTCAGTGATTAAGGACATGTGTAGAATGTGGAATGAGTTGCAAAGTTTTGTTGAAAAGTATCACCCTGACCATGCTGAAACAAGCCATATCTGCAGCATGTACAATGACAGTGTTGTGTCCCACTTCAGGAAAATCTTAAAGAAACGCCAAAAAAAGACCTCTCTGGACAGATATTTTGTGCGATAGGGGTCCAGTGACTCTCAAGTTGTTCCCAGTGTCATTAAAAGAAGAAGGGAAGTAACCCCAGATAAGGACTTGCTACCTAAAGTCCTAATGGAAGGAGATTCTCCTTTCCAACAATAGTTTACACCTTCCTCCTATCCCCTCCTCCCGTCTTCCATCCACCCAGAAGTCTTCAGTAAAGGTAAGAGTAATGTTATTATCATTTTTTATATGTATGTACTTGACTTGTCATTGATTTCACTATGTAAATCTTTATTTAATTTAAAAAAAAATATTTTATTTTAATATTTTTGGGCGTCTGGAACGGATTAATTTTATTTCCATTATTTCTTATGGGGAAAATGGTTTTGAGTTTCATGATTTTCGACTTTCGGCAGGCTCTCTGGAATGGATTAATCACGAAACTCAGGGGTCCACTGTATATATATATATCGTGCCGAATAGGCAGAACTTGCGATCTTGGCTTAAATAGCAACGCTCATCTTGCCATATAGGACAAGTGAAAATTTGTGTATGCAATAATTTTGCCAAAATCATTCTGAACCTAACAAGAAAAATATATTTCACTGTGTTTGTTTAGTAATAAATTATTGTAAACAAATCTAAAATATATTTAGTTGGGTTAGGCTAAAATAAATTGTTCTTGTTATAATAAGGTTAGGTAAGTTTTCTAAGATTCTTTTGGTGCAAAATTAAAAATTTTTACATCAACATTAATGAAAAAAATATATCTTTAAACGTATGAGAGAAAATTTTGAAAAGGACTTAATTTTAAATGAGTTCTTGCTAATTGACCAGTTTTACATATTCGGCACGACATATACATATATACATACATACATACATATATATATATATATATATATATATATATATATATATATATATATATATATATATATATATATATATATATATACAGTATATATATATATATATATATATATATATATATATATATATATATATATATATATATATTATGCAAAACAACCACTGTGAAAGAATAGATTAGTTCCAAGCGCTTTCATGACTACTCACATCGTTCCTTGATAATGTGAGTAGTCACGAAAGCGCTTGGAACTTCTCTATTCTTTCACAGTGGTTGTTTTGCATATTCTGAAATCACCTGTTTTACTGTGATCTTATTGCATATATATATATATATATATATATATATATATATATATATGTGTGTGTGTGTGTGTGTGTGTGTGTGTGTGTGTGTGTGTGTGTGTGTGTGTGTGTGTGTGTGTGTGTGTGTACTCATCTATTTGTGGTTGCAGTGGTCGAGTCTTAGCTCCTGGCCCTGCCTCTTTACTGGTTGCTACTGGGTCCTCTCTCTCCCTGCTGCATGAGCTTTATCAAGCCTCGTCTTAAAACTATGTATGGTTCCCGCCTCCACTACATCACTTTCTAGGCTATTCCACTGCCTGACAACTCTGTGACTGAAGAAATACTTCCTAACATCCCTTTGACTCATCTGAGTCTTCAACTTCCAATTATGGCTTCTTGTTTCTGTGTCCCCTCCCTGGAACATCCTGTCTTTGTCCACCTTGTCTATTCCACGCAGTATTTTATATGTCGTTATCATGTCTCCCCTGACCCTCCTGTCCTCCAGTGCCATCAGGCCGATTTCCCTTAATTTTTCTTCATAGGACATTCCCCTTAGCTCTGGAACTAACCTTGTCGCAAACCTTCACACTTTCTCTAATTTCTTGGCGTGCTTGATCAAGTGCGGGTTCCAAACAGGTGCTGCATACTCCAGTATGGGCCTGACGTAAACGGTGTACAGTGTCTTGAACAATTCCTTACTAAGGTATCGGAATGCTGTTCTCAGGTTTGCCAGGCGCCCATATGCTGCATCAGTTATCTGGTTGATGTGTGCTTCCAAAGACGTGCTTGGTGTTATACTCACCCCAAGGTCTTTCTCCCTGAGTGAGTTCTGTAGTCTTTGGCCACCTAGCCTATACTCTGTC